AATCGTTCTGCATTCAGACTGGTAAAATAAAACTGTATTCACAGACAAATCTAGTAAAAATACACCATTGAAAGACTTGTTTTTATGTATAAATGACTTGCAATTTTTACTAAAAGTCTTCCAAATTTTATGAAGATACACTAATTTGATTGAAAGTTATAATATTAAAACTATATACAAGTAACAATGGTGATGTGGTAAGTTATTGGGACAGAGCTCGTATTGAGAGTTCATAACTGGCTCAGTGCTAAATGTGTAGTGTACTGTACGTAGGTAGTGTAGTTGTGTAGGCTGTGTGGGTGTTCAAATGTCATGTACAGGCTACTAAAAAGTGTATGCGATATGTGCATGACAAAGTATGAATTTCTGAGAAATGAACATCAGTTTTGATATATCAAACTGAAACTTTATTGTACTTTCTCTGTGTTGTGGAAGGTCTCTAAGACAACATATAAAATAAAGGAATGGTTTGTATGTTATGCTGAGCAAAGTGATTCGCAACTCGGGTTGTTTTGAGTTGCAAATTGTGATTTGAACCTGGATATTTTGTCCCCTTAAGTCTGTGCAAGGTGGGTAAAACTAAGTTAAGATTACATCTGTATAAGCATGAAGTCTTTTGAGGAAAACTAGTTTGGTTTCTTGAGCTATTTCTTCAGGTAGTGGGACAAAACTACGAAGTTAAGTGTCATGAATGTGTTGTTGTGATTATGTAAACCCAATTTAAGAAGGAACAAGAGGAATCCTCAATAGCTGCAGCACTTGAAAGTCTATTAGACTGGATTAGAGTAAATTAATCTAAGAGATCTATTTTTCCTTTTTAGTGGCTATATTTTTGTGCACCAGCAATACCAAGCATGGGGCACGCATATACACAATTAGATTTTATTACTCATCAAGATCTCTACAGCTTACCCTCAAATTTAAAGTTTGTTTTGCCAGATTAGAGTAAATTAATCTATGAGGCCTTGGATGTGATCAAATATATCAGTCGAAAGGGTTTGACCTCTTGAGTCCAAAACTTTATATCTGAAATCGGTCAAGATGTGATTGACATATGAACTAAGAGTTTGTACTTGAGAAAAACAAACTCTGAGCTATTCTTTGAGCTGCTATCCTGCAGCTAAAGAAGAAAGTTGTGTCAACAGTTTTATTACATTTGAATTCTAGAAAGCTAACTTATTTTAGGTACATTGTCCTTACCAGGGGAGGAACTGCAGACTTTCTTTTAATTTTAAAAGTTCCAGTAACCAATTCTTAATAAGAATTTTTCTGATAGACAAATCAACATTATTACCATAATAATGAACTTGTGCTTCTAAATAAGGGGCTACTATTACTTGGACAACTAATTATAGCTGGATCTGGTTAAAAGTTTTTCTTGCATTACTCAGTGCTGTTGCTTGTATTTTATATCACCACACACCAGGGCCATTTCTTGGGCCCATCCAATTCTACTGACATGTTTAGTGTATAGTATTTATATAATTGCATCAATGCTAAAAACAGTAAATATTGAAATTCTACAGCTCTGTCCTCTTTTGACTGTGGGTCTCGAGCATCATAAGCATAGTTGTTAAGTCATTCCTGCTACATGTGTTGTGTTGAAACTTAATTATATACAAAGTTTGCTTCCTAGATCATATCAGATGTTGCAATTTGTGAATACAAAACTTAGAACTGTAGATGTTTTACAGCACACAAGGAAATACAAAAACAGAGCCTCAATTCTTTTCTGGTTCTAAACATGAGCTAAGACAGTAATCTTAACGTGGTATTTCATCTGAATTACTGCTTATACTTTTTGATATAGGTGACTGATTTTAATAATCTATTTGCTTTTAATGCATTAATGGATACTTAAGACTAATCACAAAGGAAAATATGGGTGTGATTATTTAGTTCTGTGATATTTTTCCACTCCACAATGTCATCAACAATTTTTAATCTCCACAAACTCCAAGTAATGCCAGTTAATAGATTCAAGCATGATAAGGAACCAGTTAGAAAAATATAAACCTTAGACCCCTATTGTTACAGTAAAAGTATAAATATAAAGTTTGTTTAAATTTCACTTTATGTATTAAATGTTGAAATATCAGTTTTAATAATGTTTTTATGGACTAAAATAAGCATTGTGGGTGTTCTAAAAGTCAACAGTACTTGGAAGTTGAAATTAAAAGAAATTACTTAACATAAGTGCTTTCTTAATGTTTCCAGTTATATGTAAAGTGTGATTTTAAAGAAAACCTTATATTTAAAATTCTTAATTCTTAAAAACTCCTAATGGACTGTTTCACTGGAGGTAGATTTGTAGTAAGTTTTGACTTTACAGTTTGGAAACATAATAGTGTGTTGCAAAACTTTAGCATATTTATAGTGCTTTATTTCAAACTAGCTTTGTTTGTATGATCTCTCTTTGAATATAATTTGTCTCAGTTCACAGGATATTTCAAATACAAGTTGAATGTCTACTTAAAATTTATTGATTGGTGTGAAACAATTGACTTGTAAGTTGCTGTTGTTTGTGAGAATTACATAGTAATTTATTTACAATTGTTATCATAGATATTTAAGAAATTGGTGACAGAACTCTGATACATTTTACAGATGTGTATGTAGTTTCTTTCTACAACATATCCACTGGCCCTGAAAAAGCTGCTGTTGAAATAAAAGTTCTATGATTATGTGGAGTGTAAAGGTTGTTTTTTCTAACTGTTATCAGCATCTACTGTTTTGTGATTCTGTTGGAGTTATGCTATTTACATTTCTTGTAATACAAAGCTGTATGTATGCAAGTGGCAAACATCATTGATGCGGTATGTAAATTTAGAACTAATCTAAACCTTGCATATTATTGGAATTAAGATGGAAAATACTGTTAGCAGCACTGAAGTCTTCAAAATTATTGGTTTTAGTTTTTAAGCAAAATATATTTATCTTCATTTTATGTATTACTTTTATATTAAAATTCTAATGTATATAGAATTTAAGAATGATAAAAATCTAACATACCTTTAAATTTTCTTTAAAAATCAAAAGTGTGTGAAGCTTTATTTTAGAAATAATTCTTTGTTTTATATGGCCTAACATCTTCCTTTCTGGTACATCAAAAAAGACCAGAGAACTTATGCTTGTAAAGACTGCTTTTATAGCATTCCAATATACATTACAATTAATTTGCTTTTAGCAAAATTTACTGAACTGACTTTTGGGGATTGAGTATGCATTGTAAAATGTCATATGCATCTTTTCCTCTGGAGTTATTATAAACAGTGAGAGAAACCTTTTTTTCCATTTAAAGCAAAATACACCTTAGAATTTGACCAGTGATTTGGAAGATCTAAAATTGGTTGAAATATTGAAATATGAATTTTCTTGACAACTGAACTGTCTAGTGTACAAGAACAGTATTTCTAGGCTGATAGATATTTTTATGTGCAATCCATATGGAGTTAAAACTATAAATATTCATCCTTACAATGATTTTTTTGGTCAGGATTAGAGAAGTTGATGTGCTTTGATACAATACTTAATGTTAAATCACACGTGAAAGCTGTGTAAAGATTTAATTCTATTTTATGCTATCTTCTGTTTGTAGATGTCATTTTATACATGAGTACTTTATTACTTATTACTGGAAATCTTGTACCTACACAGTTTCTTAATATACAACTTTTTGCAAAGTAGATAGTGTACACATTAAAGTTCTGCAGAATGTATCCCTAGGTAAGATATTTGTAAATACATTGTTCATTATTTGATACTATTTCACTAAGTAATAAACTTTAAATATGAAATAGGATAATGATATAAAGATTGGGGGGTGAGTAATTTAATTGGTGCTTAAAATTTCAAATATTTCTGATGATTCAATTTAACTACAAGTTTTCTTTGAGATTGCACAAACATTTTCAACAGTAAATTAATTCTAAAATTAACGAAAACTACTTAAATGGGCATGAGACCATTGCTAAAACTTGTGAAATAAATTGAAATTATTTTCAGGGTAAATAACTTGTTTAGTAATTTAATATCAGGCTGTCTTTTTAGTTAGTGGTCTTATAAGCCAGTCTGATTTTTTGTCAGTATAGAAAACTCAATCATTTTAATAAAGAACTAACAGGTGATCATAGCAATACATTTACTTGAATTTATATACTGACTAACGTTGATTTGAATTGCAATGGTGAAGAAATTTAACTCTTGCTCCACTGGGTGTCATGACTTAAGGTTATTTGTTTAGGTTAAGTGTCTTAGATAATGCTGCAAAGATAATTGTAGAACAAATTATTAAAGTGTCTTCTGAAATTACAGTATCTATTGTTATGAATGTTAGGGTTAATACATTAGGTAAGGATGAGCCAAAGGGGATTTGTTCTTCAGCTTTTTGGAGTTTTGTATGACACTTTCCTCCTACGCGAGTATGGAGTAATATAAATATTTCATTGAAGACCTAATATCTGCTATTAGGAGTTAATAAATTACTTTAACGTCTTATGCTGTTTTCTACAAAATTCCTAAAACCCTTGCAGTATAATTTGTCTTCAATTTGAAGTGGAATGAAAGTAAAGTTTTTGTACTCAAGCATTATGCATGTTTATTTTTAAAACAATTTTGTATTTTACACAATAAATTTACAAATAACAGCACGTGACTTGAGGTATATCAACTATAACCCGAATTAGCTTTGTAAGTGGAAATTCAATAAGACAAGTTTTATGTTTGCATATATCTATAAAAACAAAGATAAATGAAAGTCTATGACTGACCCAGTGGGGAAAGGGTTATGATATTTAATTGAAATATTCTTTATTAGTTTTGTAAGGTTTTTGAAACAGAATGTAATAATGTTTTGTTTTTTTTTCCTCTATTTTGTATCACCTTAATTTGGTGCAACGATGCTGATATGGATGTTCATCTTCCCATGTTTTGTTAATGGACTTGTGGATATCGTTTATTTTCCTGTGTACAAACTCCTTGTTCTCTGTTTAATATAACAGCGCCAATCCCGTTTTGATCAACCCCCTCCCAGCCACCACATTGGGGGAGACATGAACATAGGAAACCCCATGAATCATGGTTCTGGGCCCCATCACATGGGTGGTGGAGAAATGGGTGGAATGAGGGGTGGAGTGGGTGGTGGTCCCCGAGAAATGCAAGGAGGTCCGCGTGAACACATGATGGATCAAAGAGGTCCCAGAGACGACTACGGCATGGAGCCTAAGAGGCGAAGATATTGACCAGTTGATTTTGAGCCCCTTGAACTTTCTATTTAATGTTTGTGTGATTTGTGAACTGCAACCTGTAGTAGATGCAGCCTCATTATGAGCTGCCATTTATTGTTATAACCATGTTTGACAAGCGCATTATGTGTAATTATTACGGTTAGCATTTTAAATTCGTAGAGAAGTGTATGATCGTCTTTTTCATTGAATTATATTACGCTGTAATGTTTTCTTCTGAATCATTGTAAGTTGTAAGGGGTTATCTATTTTAAACTTGTATTGTGGTGTAACAAATAAATAGTGTCGGTGAACTGGTATCTGAGTGTAAATTTTACTACTGTTTAAACACTGGTAGATGCATTTTGTGACTTTATATGCATCCTCAGTATAATCTTTATCTGAATATTTAAGATAATCATTTAATAAAAGTAAAGGCAGACTATCCAGATTTGTGCAAAAACAGAGTTGAATAAATTAAACATTTTGAATGTGAAAACAGCAAGTCATGTGACAAGCACAGCAAATATAAAGTCTCACTGGAACAGAGTATACTAGAACTACATTTTGACAGTTTGTTGTTCTTGGGTAGTATGGTGCCATCAAGAATTGGTGCTTTTTTGGAAAGGGTATATAACAGTCCTTTCTGATGCAAACTATTCACATCCCTAAGATGTGTTTGTACCAGCATTTTGAATATCTCTTGTTCATAATGGTATTGGAAAAGAAAGTAATATGGATCAGTTTGGGGCTCCAGAACCATCCAGAAAGATACCTTTAATAAATTGTACCCCCAACTATGGTAAGCAAATGTCAATGCCAAAACCCATTAATGTGGCTCAGGTAACAGTATACAACATAAGAAGAAATTCAATCTGGAATTGAGTCTAAGAGGTGTGTGTTTGCCAAGCTCGGGATTTCAGTCTTTACCTTCTGTGTAGCAATTGCATACCTCAAGCAGTAAAGGGAAGATGACAGGTTTTCTTGTTGTTTGAGATTTAGTTTCTACCAGAATTACTGCTAAAAATTCTTTAATTATAATAATTACAATTAAGTTTCAGTTATTAGTAAAGCTGAGCAGTTTGCTTATTTGTTGTCTGGCTCAATCAATCAATTACATTAAACTAATCAATTATTGTTACAAGATGGTGGGGGGGGGACTAAAAAATAATCTTGCAAAACTATCTGATATTTTTCTATCCTAATGCTGTATATAAGCTCAATCTAATTGACCAACCTTTTAATTACCACATAAAATACAAAGTTTGGAATTGGATGGGCTACACAATCAAAACATGGTGTTCACAGTATAGTGTAAAAAAAATCCTAATGAAGAGGAACTTAAACATTGGGCCGTGATGTGGCTGATAAGTCCACAAATATTCAGTTGAGCAGGTACCTCTGAATTTAGAGGGAGATCATGCACTTGAGGAGAAAATTCTGTCACTCTTCGAGGTAAAAAGGTGTGTAATCCAATTGTTTGCTAATTTGTGAAATAGCAAACATCTTTGACCAGAAGTCAAAATTCAGGATAGCATTGCACAGCAAGGTGAAAATGTTATGAACTGTGCAGGGTGAAATGGAGAAGTTTATATTAGTGATATAGCACAATAAAGCTGGGACTAGTAATAGCACAATCCTGCCAAGAGAAGCTTGAAATAGTAATAACACTGCAGATTTGTCATTACCAAGGATTAGACATAAGTTTTGACTAAGATTTAGAAAGATAGTGTTCTTGGGTTTCATTGAGTTGTTGATAAACACTTCAAAGGCATGTCATTTGGTTGAAAGTATGCTCGCCTAATACTAATGAGCTTTACAAGTTGGAATAAATGTCTCATTGCTTCATAGTATACACAATACTATGATAAGCTTCTTACTTTGGAGGTCAAATTTGTATTTATTTTAATAGTGTAGTTTTTCTTGTTTATGGAACCTGAGTGGTGAATAAAGCTTCTATTACATTCAGATACCAAACAATTTTTTAGCTGTTTCTTACATTAGCGTAAATATGCATGTTTAGAACTCTGAACAACATATTATGTATTTTATAGTCAAATATAATCTGTGCTACATTTACTTCTCTATCTAGCACTTTCTGATAATGAATATTTTTCTGAAAGTGATAACTACCTTTGAAGGGAGGTTCCATGTTGGGGGGGGGGACTATCTATGATCAGAAGATGCATGAACATTTTTGATACTCATTCTTATCTTATACAATTAGCATAAATGAAGTACAATAAATCAATTTTCAGAAGTTTGTCAGGGCATATAAAGTGCCATCATGCAAATCTGCTGTTAAATTATCAGTTTCATATTTAATTCAAAATTATCTTTTTTGTTTTCTACAGAAATTTTGGAGGAATTTTTATAAGCCGACACTATTATTATTTGGTTTCAGATACTCAAAATTTTGTATAATAAACTTGTTTATTGTGTACCAAGCCTGTACCATAAATGTATAAATAAGAGTAACATAATTATGTTTGAGTAGGAAATCTAGAAACTTTAAAAAATAGAAGTTGGCATCTAACTTATTTCTTTGAGTACAAAATTATGTCAGCTGGGTATCTTCTATAGTTTTACCAAAACGTTAAGAATATTTTTGGTTTATGTAAAGTAGAACTGATTTTCACATTTTAAGTTTCTTTATCACAGACCTAATTGTTATTGAGCATATGTAGTTCTGTGAAGTATGAAAGCTTTGTATATAATCCAGTAAAAAAAAAATGTATATACATTATCTCAAATTATTTATTTTCATAATGAAACTTGCTGAACAGTGAATGTAAGAATTCAAGTGCTTTTTAAAAGCATTTAAAAATATATATATTAACAGCAAGGTTGTCTTCTGCCATCTTTGTTTAAGCTGTTACTTTTTTTTCTTCAGTGAATGGCATTCTTTAAGTGATTATACTACAACCATACAAAATCCTTCTCACTTATTCACTAAAATGATGCTTAAGTTTCATTGTTTTAGTTGCATGATTTCAAGTACATTGACTCCAAGTTATCTTTTTTTGATTATTATTATTATTATAATAATAATAGAGAGTGACTCTGGTGCACATATTACATAACATATGGATTGCTGAGATCGCTATCCTATTAGCATTTTTTATTATTCCTAGAATAAAAATTTCTAAGAATGATTCACGTTTCCTAGGAGAGGGAATTTGGGAGGGTGGTAATACTTTATTGCCTATTTTACCCTTCAATTAACACTTCAAGTTGAGCTTTTGTAAAGAAGTGTTACCATATTTCAACGTTGTGCAACAACCTGTTCTCTAAGTTTCAATATTTTGCATATGACCACCACAGTTTTTTACCAGTCAAATCTAGTTTATGCAAAATCAGTCTTACAAAAAGATATACATATGGTTGATTTTCTTGCATGAAAAATTCTTTTAAAATGTGGTCATTTACTTAATTTAAAAAAAATGGAAAAGGTTATTGAATGTCATGATGAAGTGAGGACTAGAAAAATTGATAATTCTGGTAAAAACAAATGACCAGTCACGTCATATACCAAGGCACCATTGTACTGTTAATTATCCCAAAAAGTCGCAAATAATAAAACAGAAATAATAAAAATGGAAGAAAAACTCCTGGGGCATGGTATAACAGGTGAAATTTAGTTGGGACTGGTTAGAGAAAGAATTTGAATTTTGTTAGGAGTAATCAGAAGTGGTAAAGTCAAAACTGAGAGGGCTCATTTAAGAAGTTGACTTGCCAGGAAAAACTTTATGGACAATATGCAAGAAACATATGAACTATGTTTCACAGGCTTGCTCTACAATTTTGACATAAAATTAATGAAAAGTACAACTGTCAATTGACTAATCAAATGTGGCTAAGTTATTATATATACCAAATATGTAAAGAAAAGAAAAGGCTGAGATCTAATTTTTAAAAGTGAACCAATGTTTTACTCACACCCCTTTAATAATTGTTATTCCTATTCTTAACTGATAAAACTTTCCAACAGCTAGAAAATTAGTCATAGAATTTATCATTCCTTGTATAATATCTCAAAGCAAATGTATTATGACAGTTTCAGTGTTTGAATAGATTTGGAGAATTGTCAGTAATTTCTGTGTTACACCAGTTTTCAAACATTTGAACGTTATAGCTACTGTTTTGTATCAACTTTAATCATAATTATTATAACTCTATGGGTATGAAACCAAATGTATTTATTTTCAGCATGCTGTTACTTCTTGTTTTGAAATAATTTTATATGTTTATAAAATTTATACTTTATCTCAGCTACAAGAAAATGCTACTTAAATCTCCGGGTAATTTCTGGTTGAGAGCTTCAAAGGGAGAGTGAGTTTCAGAAATATAAATTAATTTTAGTTAATAAGCTATAAATAAATGGCTAGAATGAATTTATAATATAAAGAAATATATAAATAAAATAAATCTACTGACAAAGGCTCTATGTCTAGAGGATGGTGCTTCCATGACCAAAAGAAAATCAGTTCATTTTTATCTTGTGCCAACCTAAAATAAGGATGTCTAGATGCAATTAGTTCAATAAATCAATTTTTAAAAGGTGACTTCTCGTAAATAGTCTGTTTAAGAAGCATTGACTATTCTGGTTTGTGGCATATATTTTATTGTAGAGTATCAGATTGTAAACAAATTTTAAAAGTAAAATCTTTAGTGGACAGGTGAAGCTAAAATTTTACATGTCCCAAAATTAAATGCATTTGAAAGCAGTAGGCAGTTTACATTCAACAAACTTGTGTAATTTGTAAGTATCTTGGTTTCTCATTTTGTAGTATCCTTTAGAGAAATAAGCAAATAATCAACAAATTAATGCTATTTTTAAAGGGTAACTATGATTGCTTGGCCTTTTGAGTTGGCAGGATAAAATAAATGTTTAGATGCAAACATTAATTATTTGTTAACTTCAAAGGAGATTAAAACAAAATTTTGGAAATTCTTAGTGTCTTGTTTCAGTGATTACTGTGCTTTAGAACCATAAAACATAGTGCTTTAAATTAAGATGTGGAGAATAGTAACTCAAGACTGTGTATTGATAAAGATGAGAACCGTGAGTTGTAATAGAAAATGTATCTATCAGAAGATATATGTATGTTTGTGCACTTAACATAAAAATGTTAACAGAAGCTTCAGTAATTTAGGTCTTGGAACTACCAAAAGTAATAATATGATAAATTAGAGGTGTGTTGCTCTACTACAGGCAACTTTTTTCCCATAGTGCAGTAAACAAGTTCTTATAGAAAGGCAGGTATGAAAGGTAATTGCTCACAAGGTGACACAAACACATAGCAAAATTGATAGTTTT